GTGTGTGTGTGTGTGTGTGTACAGTGGGGAAATACATAGGCTTTGAAGTTAGAAAGACCTGAGTTCTTCCCATCACCATGGTTATGTTACTTAATACCTCTGAGATCTGGAAAGTTACCTAGCCTGTCTGTAAAATGGTAACGATAATACTTTGCCCACTCGCACTACTATCCCAACGGTATCATAGAAGCCAAAATGGGGTGGAGTGGGTAGCCCTGCACAAAGACAGATTAGAAAACAAGGGATCTGAAACCAGTTATCATACATACACATTTATATTCTCTCTTAGGTACACTTTTCTTTCAGTAAAATAAATAAAAGTCGCCGAGGAAAGAGATGAGCTATAGGAACTTTTTTTTTTTTTTTTAATGAATTACAAACTAAATTACAAATAATGTTAATTGCAAGAACATTCAAGGATAAGGGGTAGAGGAAGAAACAAAACCATAAAAAGAAAAAAATACTTTTTTTTTTAAACATCCACATTGCAAAACCCCAAGGTGCGCATGGCAACACACCTCCCTATCCCACCCCCCACTGATTTTAAAAACTACTATAACCTGAAATATAAATATAATTGTTCATCCTTCTTTTAAAGAAATATTTTTCCCAGTGCCCCTGCTTAGTCACAGCCCTGAAAAAGTGTCAGCATTCTCAAAATGATGTCTAAACTCTAACTTCCATTCCTGGAGATGGGGGTGGCTTTCAGAGAAAGATTGGAGCAGGGATCCCTGGCAACTGAAGAACTAAAAATCCTATAAAGAAGAGAAAAATTCAAACGTCTCTCACCTGCCTCATAAGGCCACAGTGAGGCAATGCACCTGGATGCCATACAAATCCTGTCCCAGAGCCTCCCAGACTCCCCACGGCCTTAGGAGGGGAAGACGAGGGGGCTGGGAGTGACCATTTCTACTGCAGCCCCACCGGAGTTGGGTCTCGAGTCTCCCAGCCTGTTAGGAGAGGTGAAACACTAAAACTAGGGCATAAACTGGTTGGATCTATTTTTTAACTTAATTCCTTAAAACCAGCCCCTCTCTGTGTTTTCGTTTTGCTTGGTTTTCAAAAGTTGCACCTTAGCCCTCTGCTATCAGTTGGCCTTACCAAAGCATTGGCAGCAAGAGGCTTGGGGGCCCTGTCACTCCCAAACACAGAAAATAACAGTTACAGGGCATTCAGAAATGGCCTGGGATGGCAAACCCAATGTGGAGTTAGAGGAGAAGAGTTAGTCTTTTTTTTTTTGTAAACTGGCCCTCCTCAGTAACAACTAAGAGGAGGGAGAGTGGATGGTAGAGGCTGATTTAAGTGCATCTAATACTGAAACTGCCTTTCATTTCCATCCCTCCCTCCCCTCCACTCCCTGTATCCCCAGCGCTGGCTGGCCAAGAGGGTAAGGTGAGTGTTAAGGCAGTCGGACAAGATCAGAGGGCCCACCTGAGTCCAAATAGCCCAGAGCCAAGCCAAGTGAGGCCCACACTGGAGGAGAGGGTGAAAGTGGAGGTAGGGGTTGGGGGAAGGACATCAGAGTCGAAGGTGGGGTACTGGCTTGGACACATCCTGGAAGAAAGGGTGAGCCAGAGCTGCCTTTGCTGAAATGCGCTTGTTGGGGTCGTAGTGCAGCATTTGCTGGAGGGAGAGATAGGTGTATACTGACTTCAGTTGATACAATATTGGACTAGGTAGGCAGTAAGTGTTCAGAGAAATCAGGGAACCAGAATTCTTTTTACCCAAGGCACAGTACCCATTTCCCTCCTCCCACATCCAGACCCTCTCAGGGTACTAAAAGGGGCTTAAGGAAATGCTGCGATCCAGAGTCTAGGGTCTCATTCTTCCCTTATAATGGAGAAACCCTGCCACGGGGGGGAAAATGAGGGGAAGCAGCTGCCCACCCTCCACTCTCACCGATAACAAGCTTCGTCCATCTTCATCCAGGGGAGGCACAACTTTGCTAAAATCTTGCCGGGCCCACTTGGGGAAACTCGCCTTATAATCAGGCATAGAAGTAACTCCTGGCCAAACTGTCTCATCTGGGGTCCCCAAAGTTCGAAAGATCCGGAAGAGTTGGTCAATCTCAGAATCTCCAGGGAATAGGGCCCGGCGGGTCACCTGAGAATGGGGAGAGGAAAGGCCAAGATCCACATTGACATCAGCCAAAACTACCTCCTATACAAAGGAGGTTCCCATAGGCAGTGGAAGGTCAACAGGGCCCCATGACTCTCCCCCCTCCCCGCCCCAGGGCCTTTCATGGGGTCAGTCACACAGAGCCTGAGACAATGAAGTCCCTTCATCTGTCTCCTCAACCCCTCCTTCCTTCCCCCAACTATGGCTTTGAAAATCCCCAAAGCTGGATGGGGCTGGGAGGGGGTGAATGTCTGGGGTGCCACTGACACGTAGCAAAGGGATCCCAAGCCACTCACGGGGTGTGGGGTAGACACTGCGGTCATCCCCCCTCCTTGTGATGCAGCCACTTCTAGATAGGAGCACAGCGGGCAGAGACTGTGTCTTCCATTTCTTCTGTGTTCCCCACAGCACCTAGCATGGTGCTGGGTACACACTAGGTGCTTAACAAATATTTTTTGATGAATTGAGAGAGGAATATGGGCAATTGTAAGGTAATGTACTAGGGGAAAATATACATATATATATATATATATACACATATATGTATGCTCATAGTCTCTACGCCCCCAGTTATAACCCAGATAAAGGACCATAACACAGATTGCTGATTTGATTTGAAAACTCAGCCCACTTCACTGTTGTATTAAAGGGATTGGGCACTCCCACATAAGGCTGGGCCTCAATGATTCTTCAATCTACAAAGCCAGAGATTTAGGGGGCACATGAGCTAGGTCTGCAATTTAAATTAAGGGTGTGGATAAGGTGAATACCTTTGGCTTCACCACATTCCTGCACCCTACAACATGATCTACAGGCGAAATGAAGGAGGTACTAAATGGAACTCATTCTCCCAAATATATATATGCAAACTGAAGCTAAAATAGCTGCAGAAATGATTTAGTTTAGGGATAAGAGACGCATACTGGATGGTGAGGCTGTTTGGGGATATCCTAATATTGTGGTTGACATCAGGGGCAACAGTCCTATCTACCCCCCTCCTCCACGGTACAACTCTAGACAGATCCCCGAGGGGGAGAGAAGGGCCATGAGTTTGAATCAATAGTTAGTTCTTTCGTTCTTGGATGTGCGGAGTGGGCTGTGGGAACCCGGGCATGCCTACATACCATCTCTGCAAAGATGCAGCCCAGGCTCCAGATGTCCACAGCTGTGGAATAGTATTTGCATCCCAGAAGGATTTCAGGTGCACGGTACCACAGGGTCACCACCTGGGGTGGCAAGAGTAGGAAGGGAAGGGGTGGTTTGTAGGGCATGGAAATTCCCATATCCCATTGCTCTCCAAACTCTCTGCCTCTTAATAAGCAGCTTCCTTCCCGCTATCCTTCTCTTCCCTCTGATTTCCCCTAAGTGAGGTGACTACATAGGATTTCTTAGCCCAGAGTGAGCCTAATCCATGGCTCTAAGGACCATATATTCTTTTAGACATTGTGCTTTAAGTAAAAGTTTACAATTCAAGTTAGTCTCTCATACAAAAATCTATACATACGTTGTTATGTGGCCCTAGTTGCTCTCCCTATACTGTGACAGCACACTCCTCCTTTCCAGCCCAGATTCCCCGTGTCCATTCAACCAGCTCCTGACCCTCTCTGCTCATTTAGTCTCATGTGTCTACTTGAGCTAAGAAGCACACTCTTTACAAGTATCATTTTATGTCCCATAGTCCAGTCTAATCTTTGTCCGAAGAGTTGGCCTCGAGAATGATTCTAGTTTTGGGCTAATAGAGAGTCCAGGGTCAATGTCTTCTGGGGTCCCTCCCGTCTCAGTCAAACCATTAAGTTGAGTCTTTTTACTAGAATTTGAGTTCTGCACCCCACTTTTCGCCTGCTCCGTCAGGGACTCTCTGCTGTGTTCCCTGTCAGGGCCGTCATTGGTGGTAGCCGGGCACCATCTAGTTCTTCTGGTCTCAGGCTGATTGACGTCTCTGGTTTATGTGGCCATTTCTGTCTCTTGGGTTAATACTTTCCTTGTGTCCTTGGTGTTCTTGATTCTCTTTTCCTCCAGGTGGGTTGGGACCAATTGATTCATCTTAGATGGCTGCTCGCCAACTTTTAAGACCCCAAATGCCACTCACCAAAGTGGGATGCAGAACATTTTCTTAATAAACTTTGTTTTGCCAGTTGACCTAGATGTCCCCTGAAAGCATGGTCCCCAGACCCCCACCCCTACTACTCTGTCCCTCAAAGTGTTTGGTTATATTCAGGAAACTTCTTAGCTTTGGTTTAGTCCAGTTGTGCTGACTTCCCCTGTAGTGTGTGTTGTCTTTCCCTTCACCTAAGATAACTCTTGTCTACTATCTAGCTAGTGAATACCCGTCTCCCTCCCTCCCCACCCTCGTAACCATCAAACAATGTTTTCTTCTGTGTTAAAACCATCTCTTGAGTTCTTATAATAGTGGTCTTATACAATATTTGTCCTTTTGTGACTGACTAAATTCACACAGCATAATGCCTTCCAGATTCCTCCACGTTATATTTCATGGATTCATTATTGTTCTTTATTGCTGCGTAGTATTCCATTGTGTGAATATACTATAATTTGTTTATGCATTCGTTCGTTGATGAGCACCTAGGTTGTTTCCATCTTTTTGCTATCGTGAACAGTGCTGTGATGAACATGGGTGTGCATATATCTATTCGTGTAATGGCTCTTATTTCTCTAGGATATATTCCAAGGAGTAGGATTGCTGGATCGTATGACGGGACCATATTTTCTGAATCCCCAATGTGAGACCTTTCTGGAAAATCTGACACAAATAGTCATAATTTCAAAGGTGTCCCATCCAGCTATCCTGATTGGCATTATCTAAGCCCAGTTAGCCGCACAAGTGAATTCTGTGCATACTCTAAGATTTCTCGGGGTATCAGAGATTCTTTCCACCTACCAAGAGAGAGAAACTGCTGGCCAGGTATTTTTAATAATTCTGTGAATGCCCTCGTTACCACCTCTGCAGAGCTCAGAGAAGAAAAGCATAGAGGGACTTACCTCATGGGTATAAGTACGAACAGGGACTCCAAAGGCTCTGGCTAGTCCAAAATCTGCTAACTTGATGGCTCCCTCTGCGTTGATAAGCAGATTCTGCGGTTTGAGGTCTCGGTGCAGAACCCGATGAGAATGGCAGAAAGCTAGGCCCTGGAGCAACTGGAACAGATAGCTCTGACAAGGGAGAGAGAGAGAGACGACTGTGCTTCTCCATCATAGCGAGCAGATTAGGGTATGCTCTGTGCCCGCAAACCTCTTACTACATTGGAATAGAATTACATGTTTTTATTGTGTTGTTGGTTTGTTACTTTGGAGAGACCCCATCTGTTAGAAACTGTTCCATAGGGTTTTCTTGGCTATAATGTTTATGGAAGAAGATCATCAGGCTGTTCCTCAGTGCCACTGGGTAAGTTTGAACCACCAACCTTTTGGTTACCAGCTGAGTGCAAACCATTTGCACCACCCAGGGACCTTTGGATTAGAGTTACAAGTAATAAACTATTTCTCCCATTGGAGTGTAAACCCAGTGAAGTTAAGGACCAAGTTTTATTCAGTTTTGCATCCCTTTTGTATATTCTTTGCCTAGCACATTGAAGGCATTCAATAAACATGCATTGAATAAAACCAAAAACCAAACCAGTTGCTGTGGAGTCAATTCCAGCTCATGGTGACCACATGTGTTTCAGAGTAGAACTGCACATAGGGTTTGCAATGGCTATGACCATTTGTAAGTAGATTGCCGGGCCTTTCTTCTGAGGCACCTCTTGGGTAGATTCTAACTGCCAAGCTTTTGGTTAATAGCCAAACTCTTAACAGTGCCACCGAAGGACTCCATACGTTGAAACAAACATTTATTAATAGATTAAAAGTTACTCAAGGAGTAAAGAACCCAGGCTTAAAACAGACAACAGACTCACCAGCTATTTCTCCCACCAAGCAGCGGGTGGAAAAGCTTTTTGAAGGAACCTACAAAGTGCCCTCAAATCCCATTCATCCAGAGTTTCATCTGACCTCCCACGTGTGCTAACTTGACTCACTAGACTTTCAACTTCCTTGATTCTCCTGCCCAGCCCTAGGGTTAATGAACATAATGAGCAGAGAAAGAGCCACAAAAGGGGTAGGGGGGGGGGAATGAGGGCTGGGAAGGGAGCCAAGATCACAAATCATCACTCAGTCTGGATTGCCTACCTCTAGTCCCCCCCAAAACATGATCATCTTGGGGAGGAGCTGATGAGAAGAGTTACCTTGATGAGGGGAAGAGGAATGCCAGTGAGAGCAGAGGCATCCATGAATTTCTTGAGATCCTGGTGCAGAAACTCAAAAACCAGGTAGAGTTTGTTTTCTGTGTGGATGACATCCAGCAGCCTAGGGAAGGGAGGCCCAGAGTGGAGGTGAGAGAGAGAAATGCCCAGACTACACAGACAGAACTCATTCCCCTTTGCTATCAGAGCACCTCCCAGATATACTTACTTGACAATATTAGGGTGGTTGAGCTCCTTAAGCAGAGAGATCTCTCGAATAGCAGTGCTGGGTACACCCTCAGTCTCACTTGGAGGGGTTGGGAGAGCAGAGGTGGGAATTTGGTTACAAATATTCCCTTTCCCCCAGCCCAGTCATTCCTTTCCCCCCAAAGGCAGCACGACCGAAGGAAAGAAAGTGAGAGAAGAGAAAGTGTGCTGTAGGAATTAATTCCTGGGTGGAACAGGGATTAACTGTTGGACACATTAAGGTAATCATTTCCTCTTTTCCAGAGGTATTTAAGTGAGGCCACCTGGTGAAGGTCAAGCAGAGACAAGGTAACAGAGAAAAACTGGGGGAGTAGCACCCAGCATCCCCAGAGGGGCCAGTGAAGTTCAACTGCCATTCTTTTGAAAGAGGGAGAGAATTCTAAGATGAGGGTGGGGTTGGGGGAGAGAGAAGGGCTTTTTATTCAGAAAGGTGCCCTTCACTGGTTCCCGAAAACCAACTCTACGGGGAGTTCTGGACCCCATCCCCAAGGCCTCCTTCCGCTTCTTGAATCTGTCTGAATGCACATTTGGGGGCATCACCCGGTTCAGTCCGGAGGGGAAGTTTTCTGTGGATTCTAACCCACACTACACTTTCCCTGGGGAAATCCTCTAGTCTGTCCTCCAACCTACCTTCCCACTTAAATAGAAGTCCCTTCCTACTACCTTCCGGTTCCTGGACCGCTGCCCGCCTGCGGAGGGGAGCCCTCAAAAGAGCTCCTCAGTTAGGAGTCCCGGGTACAGAAGCCACTCACGTGTCCAAGCGGATTTTCTTAAGCGCCACCACTTCTCCCGTCACCTTGTTTTTGGCTTTGTACACAACTCCGTACGTGCCCTCGCCGATCTTTTCCACCTTTTGGAAGTTCTCCATGAAGCGCTAGAGAGTCGGGTCAGCCCGGCCTTGGGGCGGGGGCCTAGGAACCCTGCAGAAAGCGGGCCCGGACTCTGGGGGGCCAAGGAGGAAGAGACACCGCCGGGCACCGCGGCCCCAGGTCGGGATGGAACGCAATGTATCTCCAGCGCTTGTCAATTTGTCCAACTTGAAACAATGTTGCCGTCTCCCTCAGTTCCCGACCGCCACCAGAGGCCCCGCCCCTCCTTCCCGCGTTTCCCTGACTCCGCCCCCGGCCCTTCCTATTGGCCAACGTCAGAGCGGGGGAGACTAGGCGGGCGTCCGGAGCCTCTGGCCGCAGGTGACCCCGCCCCTCGCAAGTTCGGCTCAGAGGGGCGTTTAGTTCCTGCCCTGCTGGGGCGGCTTGATTGCCTTTTTCCAAGCACCTGATTTGGCCTTGAGTTTTCTGCCTGTGTTCCGAGTCTATAGGAATTCCTTAATTACCCCTGGGGATAATGTGTATCGACCTAAGATTAAATTCCATCTGGCCCAGGGAGCCTCATTTGAAAATCAGAAAGCTGGGAATCTATCTCACAGTCGTTCTGAGGAATTCCTGGGCCTCGGAGAAGCCGTGGCCTCTGCCTCTCAGCCTACCCCAATACTGTCTCTCTCTGTGTTTGGATGCAAGGTCTCTGTCTTTTTGGGAGGTTCCTGGTTTGACTCAAACAACTGATTGATTCACTCTTCAATGATGAATTGTGTGCGCTGGGTATGTGTTACGTAGCTGCATTTCGGTCAACTTTAGTGGGGGGCGGGCAGTGAAGTGTGTCAAGATGAGAGAGACCTAGTGAAAGGAGAAACTCATTGGATAGCGGGATGGCAAGGGAATGTCCAGGGACCAGAAACCCTTGTGAGTGCAGCCTCTCCCTAGTTCTCTAGTCCCTCCCTGGCTGAGGGGAGGAAGGGCTATGCAAATGAGCACCCCTTTCTTATAAAGGGATTTGCCTCAGCCCCCCTGGCACCTTTGGTTGCTGGAGGGAAGGACAGGATGTATCTGGGGCTGAAGCGGTGCTTTCTCCATGTGGCTGTGATGGGTGTTCTGCTGGCTGTGGGAGCCACAGAAGGTGAGTGTAGGGGAGCATCACTGTGGGCGGGTGTGAACTTGGAGTTGAATACCTACCCTGGTGTTTTGCCATTTGCGATTGGCTACTAACCTAAAGGTTGGCGGTTCAAACCCACCCAGCGATGCCGTGGAAGACAGGTCTGGCAAACTGCTTCTGTAAAGATTACAGCCAAGAAAATCTTATGGAGCACTTCTACTCTGTAAGCCCCTCCCCCCCAAAAAACCCCCAAAAAACAAAACCCAACTCAGACAGAATAGACCTGCCTCATAGGGTTTCCAAGGCTATAAGTCTTTATGGAAGTAGACTGCCACATCTTTCTCCCACAGAGTGGCTAGTGTCTTGGAACCACCGACCTTTTAGTTAGCAGCCAAGTGCTTTAATCAATGCGCCACCAGGGCTCCTTTCTGTGTAATACATGGCATCAACTCGAATGCAGCTGGGTTTTTTTAAAAAAAAAAAAAAGGGGGGGGAGCTATCAGCTCCTCCAGGCAATGCTTCAGGTTTCCTCCACCCATCTGATTTCGTGAGAGAACATGGGCACCTGAGCTCCGTCCCCACATAGAGATTTGGGATTGAGCTTGAAAACAACCCCATCTGCTTGGATGGGCAAAGGATAGTGGGTCTTTGTGGCCCTAGATCTGAGGCCCCGTGCAATGAGCTGGAGCTCCAAAGGGGTGAAATGGGTGGGAGACTCTTCTAGGTAATGTCTCAGGCACTTGAGGTGGGAGATTTAAAGTGAGGAGTAAGAGAATGTGGTATTGGATAAGAAGGCTAAGGTGGCACCACCTTCCCCCTTGGGATGGGAGTGGGTGAACACATCCCAGGCCTTTTGTTCTGGGGCCAGGAGAGACAGGCAGAGGGGTCTCAGCTGAGCATCACATGAAAAGGCTCTCCAGGACTGAAGCCTCGTGACAGGAGCAAGGGGTGGGGTTAGAAGTGGTGAGAGGGTCTGGAATGTCCTGTGCAGTGCAAGGAGGGAGGGTTGGGAATGGAGAAAGAATAGGGCATCTCATGACTCTCTTGCTCTAGTGGTGGGATGTTCAATGTGATCATTTCAGATCCTCTCCCAGAAGAATCAACAAGGTTTCCAGTACACAGTAGAAAATGGGTGGGGATAGTTTCTGCCATGCTGAAATATATACGTCGTATTTCAGCCCCCATTTCTCTCTCTAGATCCCTGGGCTCACTCGCTTCTAGGAGGTTCTCTTTCATCTGACCTCCCTCATGTATGCTGCAGTCTCCAAGTCCTTTTCTTTTGTTATGTTCTCCGATGTATCCTCCTCTTGGAACAGTCTGTTCATACTCACCCACCTGAGGCTCTTAAAAGATTGTGCTTACTTTTTGGATCGTGATTTTAAAAATCATAAAAAGACATTTTTAAAATATTCATGACAATTCTGTACGGACTGGGTTTGATCATTTTGTTTAGTGATCACACTTACGCAAGAAAACATTCCTATTTTTTACAGATACGTACTGAATCTGTAGGTTTAAAATAACAAGATGTCTGTAGCCAAAAAAGCGAACAAGCAAAAATCAGATGTAGCAAAATGTCGATGGTTGTTGCATCTGGGTGAGGGCGTGTGGAGGTCATTAGATCCTTTTTTCTCAGACTTTTTTCTTGATCAGTTATAATAACTTTCTGTCTGCTCTGTCTCCACCCCAACCTCCCCCTGGCTCTGATTTATCCTCCTCACTGCTTGCCAGAGTGATCTTTTTAAAACACAAATCTGATCATGTTCAAAAACGTTCTGAAGGGTGAGTTTTTTATGGCATATAAATGAATATATCTCAATTAAAACGAACAAAAAATGCCTTCCGAAGTGACCTTGCCTACAGGTTAAACACTAAACTTCTTAGCCTGGCATTTAAGCCCCCAATCAGTCTTCTAGCCTCATCTCTAACAGTGCATCAACCATATTGCTGTTCCCCTAACATGCCATGTGCTTCCATGCCTCCATGCATTTGCTCATTGCGGGTCCTTCTGCTGGAACGCCTTATCCCACAGGCCAAATGCCAGCTCCTCATTGAAGCCTTTCCCAATCTGCCAGCGTGAACTTAATCTGTTTAGTCTATCATTTTGTTTTACTTTATGCATGTCTGTTATGGTACACATTAAACTGTGTCTTGAATTATATAGTTATTTAGGTACATGTCTATTTCCTGTACTTTACCTTGAATCCCTTCAGGGCCTCCCTCATTAATGCTGCAGCCTCAAGTCTTACTCATTTCTTAAATTCTTTCTGCCTAGCACAGTGCCTGGTACATGGCAGGTACTCAGTGAATTAAAATGCACTTTGAATGTGAGAATGAGTGGAGTGACATGGGATAGTGTTATCCTCTGGGAGGGGTGAGTGAGGCCCTGGTATCCCTAATCGTATACTCTTTTTAGGACCAAGAGACGACGACTGGCCTGGTGTCTCGAGGCAGCTCAGAAAGAAAGACTGGAACAGGCGACTGTATCCAGAATGGACAGAAGTCCAGGGGTCTGACTGCTGGAGAGGTAGGAATTTGGCAGTTGGCGGGGAGGGTGTTGTGAGAATGGGATGGGAAGAGAAGCAAGAAGAACTGGATTGAATATAGCTTGGGAAGGTAGGAAGGGGAAAGGTGTATGGGGAGGGGCAGCTGAGAGTCCAAACTAATGCGGCTTCGCTACCCAGGTGGCCAGGTGTCCCTGAAGGTCAGTAATGATGGGCCCACTCTGGTCGGGGCAAATGCCTCCTTCTCTATTGCCTTGCACTTCCCTGAAAGCCAAAGGGTGCTGCTGGATGGGCAGGTCATCTGGGCCAACAATGCCACAATCAATGGTGAGTACCTCTCTATCTCAGGCCCTCATTTCTAGAGTTCACATTCCCTGGAATCCCCAGTGAGCTCAGGGAATGTCCCTGTCCCCCTATATATATGTAACTGTTTTTACAAATTACACAGATAAGCCAAAAAGGAAAGAAAGTCACAGTTCCAGAGACAGCAGAAACCAGTGAACGTGGAAGTTAGGCAGATCTGCATTTAAACTTGTTAGTGGTAGTATGTGATCCTGGGCTAGTTACTTAATCATTTCATGCCTCCATTTCGTTATCTGTAGAATGGAATTAAAATGCAATAATACATAAAGTACTTCACAGGTGCTCGTCATAGCCTATGATAAAGGATCGATAAATGTTAACTGGTGCTGTTATTTTTAACAACAACAACAAAGCTAGAGGAAGCCACTCTAAACATGTTGATATGCATATAGTCTTCCAGTTTTTTTCCTGTATAACTATACACGTATGAATCTTCAATCGCAGTTTCCATTCATTCCCATTATCACCTCAAATGGTTTATATCACAGGGAATATACTTTCTAGCTAGGGAGTATCCCCAGAGTCCCTCTCTGAACCCTGAGGAGCCATTTTAGGGGGTTTGATATATAGAAAGCAATGCCGTTGTTTCAGGGTGGCTATATCTACCTCTCAGGGAGCCAAGTGTGGGAAGGACAGCCAGTGTATCCCCAGGACCTTGATGATGCCTGCATCTTCCCTGACGGTGGACCCTGCCCATCTGGCCCGTGGTCTCAGAGAAGCAGCTTTGTTTATGTCTGGAAGACCTGGGGTGAGGGACTCTCTTCTGTGGACTGTCTCCCATGCTTGGATTCACCTCTTCCTACTTGGTCTCCTTTCTTTTTTGACCTCACCCCTTTACCTCTGTGATTTCCCCTAATCTTCATTTCTTCCCTGGCTCCTTTCTCTTCCCTAGCACCTATACCCCCAACTCTATCATCGTTCTTTCTGGGAGCCCTTCCCCAATTGTAGTACCACCCCATGGAATCCCGCATTAGGACCCCTTCCCTGTCCCCCACATCACAGCCTTCCAAACATCCTCTGAAGTAACCATCCTCAACCCACCTCCTGACTTCCCTTCTCCAGGATCCCTTCTCTAATTCTGCCCCTCACTCCCCTCTGACCAATAACCTCTCCTATACCTGCTTTTCTTTCCAAAAACCTCAGGCCAATACTGGCAAGTTCTGGGAGGGCCAGTATCTGGGCTGAGCATTGGCACAGGCAGGGCAGTGCTGGGCACACATACCATGGAAGTGACCGTCTACCACCGCCGGGGGTCCCGGAGCTACGTGCCCCTTGCCCACTCCTGCTCATCCTTTACCATCACTGGTAAGGACTTAGGAAAGGGCAAGGCCAGTCTTGGGGCAGGAGAAGGTGGGGAGGCTTGACTGGGCTGGACATGGGAAATGTACAACTTTAAAAGGACAGAGCCAGGAAGACCTGGGCGGAGGAATGTGAGGCTTGGAGCCAGTGAAGGGCCAGCCAGACTGGTTGGGGTTGGAGGGTGTGGCTCTGAAAGAAGCTGCTGTCCAGGCCTGGTTCTCACCTTCTCTGCCTCCCATTCCAGATCAGGTGCCCTTCTCCGTGAGTGTATCCCAGCTGCAGGCCTTGGATGGAGGGAATAAGCAGTTCCTGAGGAATCAACCTCTGACCTTTGCCCTCCAACTGCACGACCCCAGTGGCTATTTGACGGGGGCTGACCTCTCCTACACGTGGGACTTTGGAGACAATAGTGGGACCCTGATCTCTCGGGCACTTGTGGTCACTCACACATACCTGGAAGTTGGCCCAGTCACTGCCCAGGTGGTGCTGCAGGCTGCCATTCCTCTCACGTCCTGTGGCTCTTCCCCAGTTCCAGGCACCACAGATGGGTACATGTCAACTACAGAGGTCCCTGGCACCACAGCTGGGCAAGTGCCTACTGCAGAAGTTGTAGGTACTACACCTGGTCAGGTGCCAACTACAGAGCCCTCTGGAACCACAGCTGCGCAAGTGCCAACCACAGAGGTCATCAGTACTATACCTGGGCAGGCACCAACCTCAGGGGTCACGGGTACCATACCTGCAGAGGTGTCAACTTCAGAGGTCAAAGGTATTACACCTACAGAGGTGTCAACTTCAGAGGTCATAGGTACCACACCTGCAGAGGTGTCAACTGCAGAGCCCTCTGAAACCACAGCTGCACGGATAACAACTGCAGAGGTGGTGGAGGTCACAGCTGGACAGGTAGCCAGCTCTGAGCCTGAGGGTCCAGATGCCAGCCCATTCATGCCTACAGAAGGTATTACAGGTAAGAGGACAGTGGGAAGAAGGTTCATTGACGTAGGGCATTTGTCACTAGAGAGCTGAAAGTCTTGCACATGACCCAGGTGTTACCCAACCTTCTGCTTAGCAACTAGGTTTCCCTCAGGACCCTCACTGGCTCTGAAACCCTCAAGTCCCTCTAAATGACAGGGAGTAGATCTGGAGTTCAGAAAACCAAGGTTTTCCCCTAGGTTATAGGGAGAGAGCTTGTTTCTTTCCTACTCTTGAGGGATGCTGGGAAGGCCAAGGAATAGATTATGATAACTTACATAATATTTATATTTCATCTCCTGTTCAAGCATAAATACACAGAAATCTTTCCCAAATTCTGACACCTTGTTCTTTCCATTTCCCAATCCTGGATTCCCATCCCAAGGTGAGTCAGCCCGGAATTGTGGTAGGAACACTGAGGAGGGAAGGTGAGATAGCGATGCTGAAATGAGTCAACATGTGACAATGCCTGGCACAGGACCTGGCAGTGTGGGGTGTGACAAACATTTGGGGATTTTTTAAATGCTAGCTCTGTCACTAACTGTGTGGCTCTGGGGCAGTCATTTTCTCTTTCTGGCCCTCAGTCTTCTTATCTATAAAATGAAATTTCCCAGGTATTCCTGGGATTCCAAGTCAGTGACTCCTAGACGCTGTCACTCTGGCTCTCCAGGCGGTGAGGGTGGGGAATGCCTGCTCGGAGTCTGCCTCCAGGTGGTGAGTCACCTGTCTCTTGACCTTGCATCCTCCCTTCTGTCCTGCCAGGCTCCATGAACCCCCTGCTGGAAGACACAGCTACCCTACTCCTGGTGAAGCGACATGTCCCCCTGGATTGCATTCTGTATCGATATGGCTCCTTTTTTCTCACCCTGGACATTGTCCGTGAGTCTTGCCTACTTTGTGGGCTGAGGGAGGAGGCATGTGCTGCCAAGGGCTGGCCAGTGGAGGCATGCCTTGGGAGGAGTTACCTACCTGGACAGGAAAAATACTCAGATGCCAAGGTCCTTATTTGAAGGCATTGGGATAGGACTGGGGGAGCAGTTGTAGGGCTTTCCTGTCTATGGGCCTTTGGAGAGGACTGGTGGAGGAGTCCCACGCTTTCAATCTCGCAACTCTGCAGAGGGTATCGAGAGTGCCGAGATCCTGCAGGCTGTGCCATCCAGTGAGGGGGATGCATTTGAACTGACTGTGTCTTGCCAAGGCGGGTGAGTGTCCCATTGGTTGCCCTGGGAACTCTTGGGTTGACTGCTGCTCTGCTCTTTGGTGCCCAGTGTCCCTTCCCAGATCCCCTGATGTGACACCTCTCCCAGGCTGCCCAAGGAAGCCTGTATGGACATCTCATCACCAGGGTGCCAGCCCCCTGCCCAGAGGCTGTGCCAGCCTGTGCCATCCAGCCCAGCCTGCCAGCTAGTTTTGCATCAGGTACTGAAGGGAGGCTCAGGGATCTACTGCCTCAATGTGTCTTTGGCTGATGCCAACAGCCTGGCAATGGTCAGCACCCAGCTTGTCATGCCTGGTAGGTACTTGGACAAGAGCTAAGACGAAGAAGGGAAGTGGGCAGAGGCCAGCTGGCAGGGAGCAGATGCTGACTGAAGCCATGCCTGGGATTCTGCTCACAGGTCAAGAGGCAGGCCTTGGGCAGGCTCCCCTGTTTGTGGGCATCTTACTGGTGTTGATGGCTGTGGTGCTTACATCTCTGATATATAGGTAAGTGCCCCACCATCCAGCTTGGACTCCCTTATTCCCACCACTCATTCTTCCTCAATTCCTTATTACTGCCACTCCCTTTGAGGAAGTGTGATGTCCAGGAAAGAGCCCAGGCTTGGAAGTTATACAGGCCTGGGCTGCAGTCCTGCCTGTGGGAACTTGGGCAAGTAGCTTAACATCTCTGAGCCTGTTTCCTCCTCCAAAAAATAGAAAAACTAATACCTGCTGCGCAGAGCTGTTGTAAGGATTAGAGACAATGTGGGTAAAGCACCTGACTCTGAAGCCCGAGTATAATGAATGATGGTACTGATGAGTGTTGTTATTAATAATATTAAGAGTGGGAGAGGTTGGTGAACTAAGGTTCTCCAGTTGCAAGAAGGGCAGATCCCCAGGCTTGGGCTGTCCGAGGTCCTCAAAGTAAGGAAGCTTACAGGATAGACGGAGGTTACCGCAGAAACAAGAGAGGATGATCCTGGAGGTGAGAAGGGGAGGGAGTGGAGATCAAGGCCAAGTAGACCTGGGATGAGGGTGTGTCCCCGTCTTTGCAGAAGCACAGACTGGCTGCCCTTGCCCATTGCTAACCAGTTTCCTCCTTTTTCTTCCAATATCAGGCAAAAACTTAGGAAGCAGGGCTCAGCTCTCCCCCTTCCCCAGCTGCCACATGGTGCCATCCACTGGCTGCGTCTGCCCCAGGTCTTCCACCCTTGCCCCACTGGTGAGAGCAGCCCCCTCCTCAGTGGGCAGCAGGTCTGAGTACTCTCATGGGATGCCACGATTTACCTGGGGGTTGGCAGCCAACTCCTATCTTTTCTCCAGTCTCTCCTTGGCGACTACTATTACCTGAATTAAATACTTAGAACTTGATGTTGTTTTTTCTTGCTTCTTGAGAGAATCTATGTTATTGAAGGAGTAGAAGTGTGAAGGAAGGAGGTATACCACTTACCAACAGATAGCCTAGTGAGAGAAAAAGTCATTTTATTCAGAGGAGGCACTTTCAGCGTATGTGTTTGTGGTGTGTGCGTGTGCGTGCACATGCGTACACATGTGTGCATGGCAAGTAGTGGAGGTGGTGCAGGATAATAAATACTGTGAGGCTGAAGGAACACTCCCCTGAGCCAGGGCAGGAGGGTGTGGCAGCAATGTACAGAGCCTACGGGGTGGAGAGTCCAGGGACGCGGAGGTGGGTACGAGGCTGGCTCGGAGGCTGAGGCTCTCTTCCTCAACACAAGAAGCCAAAGAAATTGGAGGAGCGGGGAGGAGGGCCCATAAGCATGGGCATCTGGTTCTTGTGGGTGATCTTGATCTGGAAGGGAAGGGGGCACATTCAGAGACAGGACTTTGGGGCTGGAACAGCAGAGATTTAGGGAAAATCTGGGGTTTGTTGGGGGAAGGGTTACCGGGGTCCTTGAGAGGCCAAGGTAGGAAGGTCAGGGGCTGAGAAATCAAGGTTTGGGAGTAATGGTGTACAGGGGAACTTTGGGCGTTAGGAAGAAGGAGAAGCTGTTGAAGAGGAGATTTAGGGTCCATGGTTGTTTTTGGCAGGCAGAGGCAATACTCACTGTACAGGGTGACTGCATCCAGGGTTCCCCATCAATTTGCATGGGGAGGGTTTTTGTGGTGCTGTGGGAGGACAAGGCAGATTAGTGGAGATTTCCTTACCAACTGAATACCAAACCTTGCTTCTTAGGTTGGCTTTGGGACCATTTGTTGCTGAGGAAGATCTCCTAGTATGGCCCCTCCCTACCGTTCCCATAACACTTCTGCCCTCGCCCTACCCCCTCCCTCTGCCCCTGGCCCAGAATCTGCCTTACTGGAAGGTGATCTCAGAGCACTTGGCCAGCCGATGCCCAGCATTCTTGAGCTTGGTATAGATCTGGCCCATCTCAATTGCGCCCTCCAGCCCTACCACTTCCAGCCTCTTGTCACTTAGGTCTGGGGATGGGAGGTAGGAAAAGAGGCTTTATAGAAGCATGGTCTCCCCAAAGAGAGTCACACCTTCCCCTTAGTCCCACCTACCCGCTCAGCTCTCAAGGCTGCTCCCCTCACCTGGTACACAGGTTTTCAGGATATCAGGGTCAGTGATGACTTTAGCTGTAGCACCAAGGGCCTGGTTGATATGGCTATCTCCATGAGGCCTCTTGGTATCACCCCAGAGGTTGGAGCCACCGTGCATGCTAGGGATATTCAGCACTGCAATGCCTTCTAGGGACAGGTTGCTCAGATCCAGGGGTTTCCCACAGATCTGAGGGGAGAGGGAAACAGCCCCAGTTGGGGAGGGCGCAGACCCTCACCTCATGGCATAATCACAGATAGGACCCCCTCTCCACTAGATGACAAACTGAGAAGGCCAGGATTTGCAGGTTTGCAAGGGGTGGAGGGAAATAGGGACTGGAATATCTTGAGGACTTGAGAAATCCGGGTTAGAGAGTTGGGAGAAGGTCAAAGAAGTATAGGTTTGAGAATATGGGAAGTTTGAGAGGGTGCCTGAGGCAGGGGAAATTTGGATATAAGAAGCTAAAAAGGATGTAGGTTAGGTCATATCACACATACCTCAACTGTCAAAGACTCCTCCAGCTTTTTGCAAGTTGAGAAGATGGATTCAGATGTGGCAAATTCGAAGTACCATAGTTTGTTCTTCATTCTGTGTCAGCCCCACCACATGGCCCAGTGGGAAGGGGACAGGTTACACAGTGCTGGAAGGGGTGGGCTAGGTGACAGGGAAGGGCATCAACTTCCCACCACCAGTCGCATGGGGAACAAGGGTAACTCTGGTTGGGGATAGAAGGCTTACTGCCCATCTAAGCGCTCTGCGTCAAACTTGGCCACAACCTATTCCTGCCCCTGTGTATGCCCGTACCTCCCTCTCCTTTCCCTTACCTGCTGTTGAACTTCTCAGGATACTTCTCTCGCATGATGTGGAACCGGTGAGCAATGGAGGCATCCTAGGGAATTCAGGGCATATAAGATCAGAGGCCTGCCTCCTCTCTCAGCACAGAACTCTCTCTTTACTCCCCTGTCTGGGGGCAGCATGTCCTAAGTTCTTTTCTTACAACTCACACTGTACCGCCACCCCCGATTTCCCTGTCACAGCTCCCTTAACCTCTCCCTTCCCTTTGCGTCCTCCTCCAGCATCTGCTTGCTTTGCCCCCACTTCCTCCCCACCCCCATGTCCCACTCCACTGACCACACCGATGGAGAAATAGTTATTGATGATGTGAAAGGGGACTGGGTCACTCTTTTCTTCAGTTTGTTGGGGTATCACCTCCACGGACCATCGATCCATATGTACCACCTTACTCATCTCTAAATCCTTGAGGATCTTTCCCAAATTCTGTCCCTCATATCCTAGGGGTGGGGGAGAAGACACGTTAGCTCTAAGTACTATGACTTCTCTCAGTTCCCAGCTCCACAAATTCCCAGGGATCCTCTGCTCTGGTTCTGCAGAACCTCCCAGTCCTTGCCAGTAAAAGTGAAGGGTGCTCAGTCATGGCTCCCATTACTTAAGGTCAGCCCCTTGTGTACCCATTTCTCCACACTGTCATGGAGGGGTGAATGTTCCCAATGTGTGTGCACATCTAAAAATGACACTGAAGTCTGTCTGGAAGATTGGAGAGGATACTCAGGAAAATGCTGAAAAAGATGAGTAATGAATGGGGATAATCTCTCTCTCTCTGACTCTTTCTTTCCACATCTCACCAGACAGAACACAGTATGAAGCAACAGTATCTAGCCAGTGTGATACGGTCACAGTGACTAGAATAAAAAGTCCAATGGTAAGGAAGAGTGCCCAGAAATAGACTCAAGTATATACGGGACTTTAGTACATGATAACATTCCAAACAAATGGGGAAAAGATAGATTATTCGAGACATAGTAGTGTTGGATATAGGATTCACTCCTTATACCAAAATAAATTTAAGATGGGTCAAAGAATTTAAATGTAAAAAAAGAAACAGAATTTGTACTAGAAAAAAAAAATGAGTGAATGTTTTTATAATCTTTGAGTGAAAAAGGCCTATCTTAAGCATAATAGAAAACCAGGACCCAAAAGGGAAAAGACTGATAAACACAATTATATTAAAATTAAAAACTTCTGTCTGTTTAAATAAACAACACCTTTAAAAAAAATAAAAGGACAAAATACAAACTGGAAAAAATACCTGCAATATATATATAACAGACTCACTTCCCTAACATTCAAAAAGGGCTTATAAATCAGTGTATTAAAAAAGTCAATAGAAAAATGGGCAAATAATACAAAAAAGCCAATCACAGAAGAAATAAAAAGGGCCAATAAGCATGAGAAATTCTCACTATTACTAATAATTTAAAAAACTGTGAATTAAAACAGTTTACTTTTTGTTGCCTATCAGGCAAAGCATAAACAGATGAAGAAAATCAAGTGTTAATGAGGTTATAAATAAAGCGGCACTCTCATATGCTGTTAGTTGGAGCATAAACCAGTAGCTCACTTTTGGAAGACAATTTGGCAATTTTTATTAAAACGTTATCAAAACATAAGATTTGACCCAGCAATTCCACTTTGGGGAATTGCTCCTACTGAAACTAATATGCACAGAGATGGATGTACAAGGATGTTTACTGAGGCACTCTTTGTAATAGCAAGAAATTGGAAACCATCTAAATGTCCATCAATAGGGGAATAGTTATATAAGTTATGGTAAGTCCATGCTATGAAATGTTGCGCAGCTATTGAATATAGAGTGAAATCTATCTACATGTACTAACATGGAAAGATATCCAAGCTATATTATTCAATTAAAAAACAAGTCCCAGAACAATCTGTGTAGTATGATCCCTTTCATGTTTTTTAAAAACCTGTATATATGTATGTATGTGTGTGTATGAGTGTGCATGTAAAAACAGAAAGGTGAGTTTAAATAATAGTTATCTCTGGGGAGGTACATGGAAGCTGATGGGGAACAGGGAAGAAGAGACCAATATGTGAAGACTTACGCATTTCACTTACTCCTTTAAATCTTTCACAGTGAAAATGTCCTGATGTATTGTTTGTGTAATGTTTTAAAAAAGAAAATCACTAGTAAAATGTAAAATGTTCATACACTTTGAAGCAGCAATTCCACTTCTAGGAATCTCTCCTAGAGAAATTCTCACGTGTGTGCAGAGATAGATGTACAAGGGTGTTCACTGCAGCATGGTTTGTAATAGTAAAAAACTGAATGCTACTCAAATGTCCATTGATAGAGGGCTGATTAAATAAATCATGGCACATTCACACAATGGAATACTAATCATTCCAAGTAAGAGTGAGGCCAACCTAATTGTACTGAAATAGAATGACAATCAAGAGGAACTGTTCAGTTTAAAAAAAAAAAGAAGAAGAAGAATCTATAAAGTGACCTCATTGTTGTTTAAATATATATGTGTCTAGAAAGAAAACATGAAGGAACAGATCCCAAAAATTTAGGGAGTAGATTACAGAGAACTTTCATTTTCTTAGAATGTATACGTTTGGATTTTTTTTTAGCAGAAGCATATATTATTTTTGTAATCAGGAAGAAAAGAAAAAGATTAAAAAGCAAGTCTCCACCTCCTCACATTTCACCGATTGCTCAACCCACTGTAATTTGCCTTTCATCCCTACCACGCCATTGAAACTTTTTTGGCAAAGATTGCCAATGACTCCTGCCAAAATCAATAGTATATCTTTAGCTCTCATTTTAACTCTTGAAAACTCTTCACTTGGCCTCTAAAATACCACTCTCTTGGTTACAGAAGAACCTCTCTGACTGAGAAAGAGAGATTCCTAATTTTTCTTTTGGTTACAGCTTTCAAGAGTTCCCCCATGGTTCAGGGATTGTACACTGAAATGCCTCAGGTCTTAAAAGGTAAAGTGAATGAGTGAATAGCAGGGAGCCTAGGGGATTGTAGTGAATTAAAGAATACATATTCCACTTGGAAACAATCAAGTTCAAAAAACTTTAAAACATTGCAAAGCAAACAATACAAATCATTTCCATGGGTTGTCCGCTTACAATCTTTGGCAGGACAAAGTTAAAAACTCCTTAGCATGGTATTCACGACCCTCTGTAATCTGGATCCTGTCCCATTCAGTCCTCCCTCTTTCCATTCCCACTTTGAACCCTATCTCCCAATCACAAGAAATAATTTGCAATTCCCCTAATGCACCACCACATTGTGTGGTGGTTTCTCTGGCCTTAGGCTTACGCTACTTCTTCCACCTAGAATGCCTTGCATTCTCTTTAGCAGACTCCTATTCCATAATCTCCAGTGATATCTCAGCTGGACTCTGGATATAACAGCCTCAGCTCCAAGACACCTCAAACCTGCCCCACTGACCTCTTCATCTACCAACACCATTCCTCAAGCCTTTCTCCTTTGAAGGGGCAAAGAAACTTGAAATGAGATCAGTTAGGAGACTGTTGCAATAAATCCAGAAAGAAAGAATGACGAATGAATGAACGATCACTTGGCTAATTGACTGAATGAATGAAATGAGTCATGGTTAGGCATCCCACTATCTCCATCACTCAGCCTCTGGCCTAACTCTTATACCACGTTCCTTATTTCCACATTGTTTTACCCTCTTGTTATAGATTGAATTGTGTCCCCCCAAAATTCGTGTTGTAAATCCTAACCCCTAGTCTTGTGGTTATAACCCCATTTGGGAATGAGTTTTCTTTGTTATACTAAAAAGATAGTATTAGTGAAGGGTGTGTTTTAAGTCTATCTCTTTTAAAATATAAAAGAGCAGATTAAACAAGGAAGCAAGCAAGCAGAGAAGGGAGAAGATAGACGCCATACCACATGAGGATCACCATGATCGCCAAGGAATAGAAGCTGAAAAGAGGCAAGCACATTCTCCCAGAGCCTACAAAGAGAGAAAGCCTTCTTCTAGAGCTAGCACCCTGATTCAGACTTCCAGCCTCCTAAACTGTAAGAAAAGAAATTTCTGTCCATTAAAGCCACCCACTTGTGGTATTTCTGTTATAGCAGCACTAGATAACTAAGGCACCCCTCATATTTCTTGATTCTCTGAGCCCTAAGAGTTGGTTGGTTGAAATGGAGGGATACTTGTAGGTTTGTAGAGAAGAGTCACCCCTGACCCTTCTAGGCTCAGATTACTTCACTCCCTGATTGTGGAAGAATAAACAGGGAAGAAGCCCTGCTTCTTCCAAAGCTCTCTTCCTCTTGGACACTCTGCTTTGGTGCCTACCTATCCGCAGCCTTGGTGGTGCAGTGGTTAAGAGCTCTCGGCTGCTAACCAAAAGGTTGGCAGTTTGAATCCACCAGCCACTCCTTGGAAATCCTATGGGGCAGTTAGGAAGAGATGCTCTCTTTTATTGCTAGACTTGAACTTGGGAGTATTGAAGGCTGGAATAAGTGGGAATCATTTTGCTACTACAAAAAGCCTTAGAATGAAACCAATATAGAGGAAATCAATGCAGAAATGGAAAAAGACTCAGCCCTCGTGACTTAATTTGAGCCCCTGAAACCAGCTGTAATTCAAGTCACTTCTGAGGCCATAAACTCATTCTATGTATCCAGTTTAGGTGTGTCTCCTGTCGGTTAAAAACTAGTATCTTCTTCTAAATTATACCTGGAGTCGACTTTCTACATTTCATTGTTTAGGTGTTTATCTGGGTCAGATTTCCAGTTAAATGCAGGAATAATTTTATACTATTTCATGATCAATATTCAACTTAATAAATAAATTTATTCAAATTAATAAATAAAATCATAATAAAGCATAAACTTTCAAAGATACTTAGTATGGATGCACAGGCATCTAGCACCCGTTCAGCACTTTATTGAGAAATGTAAAAGAAAGAGTAAAGTATAAAGCTTGTCATTAAGGAAGTTACAGTCTACTTTGGAGGAAAAGAAAGATATATATCAAGTAAGCACAAGTAAAATTCTCTCTGTGTCTTATAACACTCCCTACGTCTTATAATTAAGTACTCTGGTTACACACTTCCCCACTGGATCTGTGCCCTTTATCCCTCATGTAAAAATTACATTTTTCATTCACTGGGGGCTTGGCTGCTAACCAAAAAGATCAGCAGTTCGAATCCACCAGCTGCTCCTTGGAAACCCTATGGGGGCAGTTCTACTCTGTCCTATAGGGTTGCTATGAGTCGGAATCCACTCGACGGCAACAAGTTTTTTTGGTGCCTCTCTTCTTCTCCAGCCTCTTTCTGCCCAGGGCTTTGAACCAGTTCAGCTGTTGCATTTCTAACACGTTCCCTGCTGAGAATCTGCATTTCTAACAAGTTTCCAGGAAGTTATACATAAGAATCACCTGGGGTTCTTGTTAAACTGTAGATTCTGATTCAGCATATCTGGGGTGGAAATGCAAATTATCAGCAGGGAACTTGTTGGAAATGCAGATTCTCAGCAGGTGTTCTGCACCAGATAGATGCCTAGATTCTTTTCTAGGTGCTTTCCCCTTCCTATCTCACTTCCCCCATTCCCAGCAAAACAATTGCTAACCACTTACCTCCTCCCCATCTTAGGCAACGAGCCAGATCATTTCCAGTACCCAGGGGCAACACAGCGACAGGAGGCACAGCAGGCAAACTGGCTTTGTCTGGGGAGACAAGAAAGAAGACAGGTGAAGGGAGTTAGCTCTGGAAAGCCAGTGCCCCAGTCCCCTGGCTGGAGGCTCTCCCTGCACTGACCAATGGTCTCTAGAATCCAGCCTACTGTGCCGTCTCCACCACACACCAAAATCCGGCAATCAGCAACATCTTTGAAGAATTTGAGCCTGAGACAAAAAGGGAGAGAGAAGGTGAGGAAGGAGAACACGACTGAGGCTACTCAACTCCTGGACAGCCAGCTTATGTCTTATCTCTCATTCCTTAAGCCCCTTTCCCCTTTATCAAAAGACTTGAGTTTCTGTTAAGGGTAGAGACAAGGACAATGAGGAAAGTCACAGCAACTCCTCAGTGGTTAGGGAGAAACTGGTATCTCCATCCTTTGAGAGCAGGATAAGGTATCCTCTTTGACTTGGAGAGCTCGGAGGCGGGATACCCAGAGATCCTAGGGAAATAAGCATTCTGAATTCTGGTCTCCAGGGTCCCCTAGACCTCCCCTCCCAACACACATTCTTCCCTGATCTCTCCCAACAGACACAGATACACAGATATTCTGACACAGTCCCGAACCTAGACTCACCCTGGCTCAGGACCATCCTTTTGGAGATTGAACACCTGACGAGGGTTTAGTAGATATTGGAACTTCCAAAGCACCCTGAGTGAGAGAAAAACGAAAGCTCTCGGGAGAGGGGCATATTCTGTAGCCCACCCTCTCATGCTTCCTCAGGGTATGGCCCCTCCATACAACACATTCGCTTCTTCCCTCCGACCTCTGTAGGCCTTCCCTCTCCGTCTTAGAAGACCCAGTATATCTCTCCTCCTCACCTCTCCCCCTGTTTCCCGCCACTCTTAGGGTTGACGAAGACAAGAAGTGGGTGGGTATTGGAAACAGGGTCAATCTGGATTGGGGGAAGAAAAAAAGGATAAGGAAAGGAGGATTTTATGAGAGTCAAGATGAGCTCTGGAGACAGAGGAAAGGGGCTGACATTCCACAAAAATGCTTTTCCCTCCCTCCTCTTTCCCCTTCTTTCCCCTCCGCCACCAGGATGGGGTTTCTGGAGTCCAGACAACATCTTCTCAGATTTTCCCACTTCATTCCCTCCCTTAAGAATGAAAAACTGGCCCCCATCAAGAAGTCCAAGCCTCTCAGCCCTGTACCCGCAGGGCCTCAGAAGTGCCTGAATTTAAGTCTTCCATGCTCTTCTGGCTCGTTTTGCTAGTTTTACGATCCTGTCCAGAGGCCTAAGAAGGGAAGGAAGCAAAGGGAAGGAAAGCTGAATGGTGCGTGAATCCCTGAACAGATGAGCCTGACATGAATCCTAAAAATACAGCGTGCTCCATTCTAAATGGTGCTATTTTGTTTTAACTGGGGAGGCACTTCTGCCCTCTTCCAGCCACTGCCCGAGGGTCTCACCAGGACGCTGGGGTAGATGGAAGATGGAGGGAGGATGTGATCACGGAACAGCCCACAGTCACACTCATTGCCCGTGGCTTGCAGGCAGTCATCATGGATCTGAAAGACAAGGTGGGCACAGAGCGATCACGGAGGGGACCCCGCCACCCTTCAATTCAGAAGTCTGGTATTGGAAAGAGAGCAGGGGCAATTGTGGCTGTAAGGGAGCTACGTGGGAAGGCGACCGAGGAGCTGAGGAGGAAGAAGGTATTTTGGGGAGGGGCCCAAAGGAATAGTTTGGAGGGGAGGATCAGCCTGAAGGATAACTCCCAAACTGACCTCTAGGTGGCACCACACACAATGCAGCCCAGTTAGACTGTGGTAGGACCGGATTTTTTTCTGACAACGGTCACAGCGCCCGGATACACAGCCTCCTCGCACCCACACATGTGACTGGACCTTTTGAAGAGAAAGGCAAACTCTTTTCTTGGCAGGTCTGAGCAGGGACTGGAGGAGGAACGGGCTGGGGCAGCAAACGGCCACGGTCCAGGGCCAAGATGAGGGAGGTGCTAGGTGGGAATAGTCACTCACACCAATGTCCTTCCGGGACTTGGCATAGGTGCTGACTTCACAAGGCATGGCCTTCATGGCACACCGGTCGTGAACGATATACTTACAGACTGGGTGAGAGGGAAGAAGGTCAGAGTCTGGGCTGCAGCCCCTCCCCCTACCTCCCCCTTACCTGGGGGTGGGACTCCCTGGAATAAGGCATATAATCCCTTGCTGTGAGGGTGGAGTAGAAAATTAATGTTCTGGGGGGGCTCACCTCCAAGACCTATGCCTTTTCCTTACTCTTTCCCCTAAAAGAGCAACTTCTATCCTATACCCATCCCACTCTATGCGTCAGGAACTGAACTGGATCATGCAAGGGAAGCCCAAATGTAACTATAATAATAATAATAGCTAATTTTTATGCAGACTTAATAGTATATGCATGTGAAGCTATTTTCTTGCATCAACTTATTTAATGCTCACAATTACCTCATTTACAGTTGAGGAAACTGACGCTTAAAGAAATTATGTAACTTGCTCAAGATTACTTAATTAGTCAGTGACAGAGCCCAGGATTTAAACCTAGGTCTCTCTAGGTTTGGAGCTCCATAGCTGGGCTGCCTCTCTGTTCCCACACTGCCAGGCCCCATCACTCACGGTTACAGCTCAGTCCCTGTTTGCCAAGACCAATGCTCGCTTCACACAGGTTGCAGTAGACTGGTCGGGAGAACCTCTTGGGTCTCCACATGTGCTGCCCATTGTCCTTCAGGGTCTGGGAGGGCACAGCACATGTTGGGAAGACCAATCTCTGGCCAGTACAGCCCAAGGCAGCCATCTTACCCATCCTCACAAGCCTCTCCTACTCACCATCTCCAGACCCAGCAGCACTAGCAGTGGCACGGTGGTGGCCCCAGCCCGGAGCCACTCAGTTAGGGACACAGAGCCACTGCCATCATAGTCAATCTCTTTCATCATCTGCTGAAGAATCTGAGCAGAGAATGGGGAGGGGCTTTTGGTGTGAGTGGCCTCACAGACCTGACACCTCTTCACTGTCTCCTAGAACACCCAGCCCAGCCACCCTAGCTAGGAAACTAGGCTATCTGTCAGAGACGGATGAGGCAGATGCAGGACCCACTGGAACAGAAGGTATAGGAAGAGACATTGGGGAAGAACTACCTTACCGGCCTCAGCTCAAACACATCCCAATCCAGATATTCAGCCACTCGCATCATCTGTGTGATGATCTTGTCCACCTCCTGGGGGCAAAGAAGGGAAGAGCCAAAGCCATGCCCCACCTCACAACCACTGTCCAGACTCCTCTCTAGAAATCAGAGTTTCCCAGGTTCCACCCAGACCCACCTCTTATTCTCAAGGGCCTCTGCCAACTAAGTGTCTATGTATGTTTGTGTGTTTGCAAGGCAGCTCCCAATTCATGTCTCCAGACTCCTCTTTTTGGGGTCAAAAGCTTGAGGCCTACTCCCAAATTTAGTCCTAGCTTCCTCTGCTTCTTAAGATTCTGGAAGAGTTGGGGCAGGAGGGCACAGACAAATGGACACATACTCCCTTGCCAAACATACAGGTCCCCCAACTCACTGAGCTGTCCAGGATCCCATTTCTGTCCGTGTCGTACAGCTTGAAGGTGACTGTGGGGTGTTTTAGGGGGGCCAGGGTCAGTTTGTGATGTTTACCCAAGGAATTAATACCAGAATGTAGGAGAAACAAAGAGATAGGGAGAGACCTTTTGAGTGAAGAGCCCAGAGCTTGGGGCTGAGAAGAGGCAAAAAGGGAGGGGAAACAGGCCTGGATTCCACCCCTGGTGAATCTGATAGGGTAGGCAGCACACACCTCCCACATCCCAAGAATATCCCATCACCCACGTGAGAACGTACAAGGCTTGGGTACTAGAGTGACTACAGTGGACGGAGTTAGGTATAAGCAGTCTAGGGAAACAGAGAAAATGGGCTGTTCTCTGGCTCCACCTTTGTCCAGCCCTGTCAACCTTTAGGAATCCTGAGAAAAATGAGGAAGGGAGGCTGGGGATCCCCATCTCTCCCTTCACTTTCCCTCCCCTTCCCAGCCCAGGTACACATTCTGGTAACTCACATTCTAGCTTGTCTTCTGGCCGGCCACCCTCCAGAAGGGAAAAGTAGCAGGAGACATCACTGAGACACACCACTTCTGGTTACAAAAAGCACAGCAAAGCTGGGGTTGGGGCTCCCTTCACTCTGGCTCCTCTCTTCTCCTTTGGTTGTTCCTACTCTTCCCTTTAACTTTTCCTCCTTTAGCTCCTAGACCAGCCTAGCCATCTTCCACCTCTCTCCCCTGACCCTGCTCCCAACATGTGACTCAATCCAACTCTCATCCAAAACCCATACTAATTTAACTTTTCTTTTGGAGGTCCAGCCCAGTCCCATCTATATGACCATACCTTTATGCACAGTCTCTTTTGAGCAGTGATCTGCCTGGAAGGATCGAAACAGTGCCAGGCTCAGGTTACTGGGCACATTATCCGCTTCCAGATAGATTTTCAGGAATTCCTGGAATCCTTCGTACCCAATGGCCTGTGATGAGAGTGAGCATTACCCTGGGGTGTCTGCGGGGTTGGGAACTGAAGAATTGAGAGTAGCGAGGATAGGGACAATAAGTGCACAGCTGAGAAGCATCTGAGGCAGGAGTATGGTTTCTTGGGCCAAGTCCTCAGTTAACAGAATCTCTTGCTTGTCCTAAAGCAATAGCTGCAGTGACAATGGATGGTGGGGTATCTAGACTGGAGATAGCAAGGGGTGGACCCAGAATCACCCCTGGAAGTTGGGGATCCCAATGGTGCAAGAAAAACAAAGATGGCAGGAGTTGGTCAAAGAAGACTTGGCAGCTTCCACTCACATCTCCTTGGAGATATTTAGCCATCTCGCCATCCTCGGAGAAGAGCTTTAGGACATCACTGACCTTTTTGGTGGAATCTAGGGTGTGAAGAGAGTGATAGCAGAGCATCAGTCCAGCTCTCCCTGCCTTCTGCCAGAGACCCACTCAGATATCCAGCAGGAAAAAAGATTCAAGTGAGGTGGAGAAAGAAGAAATTCCAAGAGAAATACAGAGAGAAAAACATCTGATTCCCCAGTGTGGTACCCCTTTCCTCTTCTCTGAAACTTGGGGAAGGCAGTCAAGGCACAAAGGAGGTAGGTAGAGAGCTGAGAGCCCAGGCATCTCCCCATCTTCCTCCCCTCCCTTTCCCAGTCATGGGCATATCAGAGGAACTAACTGGCTCAAGGGCACTGGGGAAAGTGGGGTGAGAGGATAATGAGGAGAAGGTGGTCTCTGGGTAAGGTCTCCAGAACTGAAGGACGGGGAGGAAAACTTACATTCCAAGTACTTTTGTAGCTGGGCGAACTCACTGGGGCTTATTAGGCCCCTTTCCTTGGCCATCTTAATATTTTTCTTAAGAATGGTTAAAAAGGAGATTTTACAGTGCCTCCTGAGCCTGTACTTGCACTTCAGAGGGTAGGCCTGGAGAAAGATGACAAGAGCATGTGGCAGGAAAAGCCAGCTGCCTCCACCTCTTTGCTTCTGTCTGCTCTGTTCATTCTGCACTCCCACTACTATTTATTTTCTTTCCTTGTCTCTGAGTCCCTCCCTAAGTCTGTGTTCCTCTCATTTATGTCTCTCTCTCACCCTGGCAGTGTCTATCCTCTGTCTCCGTTTCTCTGATTCATCTCCGACTTTCCTCCATTTCTGGATCCTTCTCTTGCTCTCTGACTTCTATCAGAGAGAATCTATCTTGATTCGTCTCAGATCTCCCTCACCTCCCACTCCCACCGCGGCTTTCCCAATCTATACGGGTCTCTGAGTGTGTTTTGCGCCTGTTTCTAAGTCTCTCCCGCCACCCGCAACCTCCTGGGCCTGCGCTCTCCCATCTCTGGGTCTGGGTCCCCGCAGCAGTCCGGGTGGTTCCTACCGCTGTGGCGTTGCGCCTCCCGGGCCACGCCCCCATCTTGCTCCGCCTCCAGGCTCAATTCCTAGCCCCACTCAGCCACCCACGCCCCGCAACGACCTCCAGCGCTTCTGACGCGAGACAGAGAACCAGCTCCGGTCCGGTCCCCAGCCCCGGCCAGCCTCGTCTTCGTTCTGCGCAGGAACTGGGGAGGGGCGAGGGGGGTATGGGTAAGGGGCGAGGAGTCAGGGGCCCAGGCGGAGAGTTGGGTGGGTAAGGGAAGACTCTGGGCGCCCCTCTGGTTACCCAGGCCTGGGAGGGTGGAGTTGAGTGCAGGAGTCTCCTATGCCAGCGTCTCCCCTCCACGCTGCCAGGTTAGCTGTGTTTAGGCAACTCCAAGTTTGCGCTGTTGGACCCAGGGTCCAAGAAGGAGCCGTCACGTGGATCCTATCAACCACTGGGCCATGGGCCAAGTCACAGAAGGCGATTTGCGTTGATAATTCAATAACAGCAATAACAATAATTATAAATTTTACGTTAGTATAGCACAGCGGTTTTGGAGTGAAACAAAACTAGGGTCAGCCGTATCTGGGTTCCATTCTGAGCTCTGATACTACTTTGTGACCTTGGACAAGTTACATGTGTAAAATGGGGAGAATGGTATCTGTCTTTCCCAGTGGTGAAGATTAAGTAAAATAATTTATGAAAAATGCCTAGTATAAAAAACAAACCTATTCCTTTCGAGTCAGTTGGTAGATGGCGCAAACAGTTTGCCCTAGACTGCCAGCCTAAAGGCTGGTGGTTCGGACTCACCCAGGAGCACCACGGAAGGAAAGACCCGAGGATCTGCTTCCATTAAGATTTTTGTCAGTTGCTGTTGGGTGGATTCTGACTCACGGTGACAATTACAGCCAAGATAACCCTATGGAGAAGTTCTAGTAACACCTTCGGTCACCATGAGTTGGAATGAATTGGAAAGCAGCTAACTAAGAACAACAAAATGCAATAAATGGTAGTTATTATTGTATTAACAAAATCAGATCCTGTGATATAGGAATTACTGGCATACCCATGTTACAGATGAGGAAACTGGAGCTCAGAGAGGCTGGTGACTTCCAAAAGCAGGTGATAAGTGGAGGAGCACAGGCTCCAGCTCAAGTGCCACATGGCAGGGCCCTTACCTGTCTCTCTGGCTTCCTCTTGTTCCACTTTTTCCTTCATACCCTGCCTTATAATCTCACTGGCCTCCTTTCTGTTCCTCAAGCACGCCAAGTTCTTCCCTGCCTCAGGGCCATGAGATTTACTGTTCTGTCTGCCTGGAACCCTCTTCCCCACGTTTGGCAGGTCCAACTTCTTGTCTCCGCTGAAATGTCAGCTCCTCTGAGAGACTTTCCTGATCATGCCATTCACTGTACCTTCTTTTGTTTCCTTCATAGAACTAATCACAATGGGAAATTATCTTGTTAATTTATCTGCTTCTTTGTTTACTGTTTGCTTTCTCCCAGCAAAACATAATTTCTACAAGGGCAAGAACTTGTCAGTCTGGTTTACCAGTGGATCCCCGTTACCTAAAACAGTGCCTGGCATGGAGTAGGTGCTCAATACTGGCTGTACAAATGGTTGTATAAAATTGGGGAGGTCATATTTTGGGAATACTATCCAGATATGATTAAATGGGATGCCACAGAGCCTATTCTGATGGTCAAGGGAATATGAGATAATTTGGAGTACATAAACCAAACTAAACCAAAGCCACTGCTGTGGGGTCAATTCCAACTCATAACGACCATATAGGTCAGAGTAGAACTGCCCCATAGGGTTTCCAAGGCTATAAACCTCTACAGAAGCCGACTGCCACATCTTTCTCCTGCAGAGCAGCTGGTGAGTTCGAACTGCCAACCTTCTGGTTAGCAACTGAATGCTTTAACCACCGTGCCACCAAGGGTCCTTTGGAGTACAAGTGGGTGCTAAATAAATATTTGTTAAATGAATGAATGATGCTAAAAGGCACTTATTGAGGTACTCCATATAAGGCTCTGACCTTCTGCTTCCCCTCCACCCACTACCTTGGGGCTTATTGGGTCAGGCTCAGGGAGGCAGTTAGGGCCTAGAAGAATAGCCCAGCCCCTTTCCCTTCTGATGGTGCAAGAGCCTTTTCTGCAGCCTCTGACCTTGGGACATCTCTGCTGCCCACTTCTATGCAGTAATCACATTCCTGTTCCGGGGCTTTCTGGGAAGCCTTAGAAAGGTTTTCCGGGACACTGCCATTCTGGAGAAAGGATTCTACCCATCTGGCCCTTTTCAAGGACTATAATCCAACTTCTGCTGCTAACAGATCTAATGAATACATAGTAGTCTTAAGGCTAATGAAGCCTATACAGCTTAATTAGCCTCTCTGATTACCTTTGGGGATTCTTAGGTGGCTCCAAGCTTCTAGGAAATTGAAGCTGAGGGAGAAAGTGACAGGCAGAGAGAAACAAGGGATGATGAATAGGAGAAGAGCGGGACACTTCTACCCTTATCTCTCTTTTCACAATGACCCAAGGCTTTCTTGCCCCTTCCAAGCCTCCCAGGTATCTCAGACCTGGAGAAGTGGTATATAGTAGAGGTTAAGAGACTGGACCTTTGAATTGATGGACATGGATTAGAATCGTAGCTCTTGGGTGAGTCATTTCATCTCCCTGAGCCTTAGTTTCCTCATCAGTAAAATGGATACCTAGAGAAATCAGTCACAATGTGGGGATTAAATAAAATAATGTATGTAACGTGCTTAGCAAACTGCACAGCACAGAGTAAGAGCTCAATAAATGTTAGGTGCTATCATTATCATTATATAAGGGTGGTACCTAGAGAAACACATCTGGAGCTTAGGAAAAATGATGTCTTTGACCCAGGAAGGCAAAAATTCTAAGGACTCCCAGTAGCAGTGAAGCCCCATTGTACACACACCGTCTCCCTACTTGTGTCATGTCAGCACAGACATGTAGTGGTATCAGGATCCTGCACTATGCCTCTGGGATGAGGATGAGGTGACTAGAAACTAGACTGTCAGCGTCCAAGGACACACTTGGACTGGGATCTTCGCATGTTAAGGGTTCCTGGGATTTTTCCAGTTGACTTCCCCTGACTTCCCTCACAGAAAGTATGGCTGCCGCTGGAGCTGACAGGCAGCAAACGGCAGGATCCTGGGGCCTTGAAGACCCGGAACAAGTCTGATTTTGTCCTCCAGCTCCATCCCAACACTGAGGCTATAACCTGGGCTAGTCCAGGCGAATGGCAAGGCTAGGAGGGTGGGGTCTGCTGCAGGCCTGACAGCTATTTGTGACTCACACTTCCCTCCCCTCCCCTACCAGCTTGAGGTGAGAAAGGAAGAAGTTGACTTGGAGGCAGAGAATCCTAGAACATCCTCAGAGCTGAGGCACCAACCCTTGTATTTTACAGAAGAGAAAACTGAGGCCCAGTGAGAGACGACTTTCTCAGATTCACATCCAGACTCCAGATACTGTCTTTAGTCAATTCCATTCAATCTTAGTGCCTCTCATTCTCTAGATCGTATTTTAAACATTAAAAACTAAAATTGCTAGTCACCAAGAGATAAATATTATTTCCAAAGCCGGTGCTAACATTTAAAGTTTCATTTTTTACTTCGACATACATTGCTCATATTCCAAGTCATCTAGATTCACCATTACAGAAGACTCTTCCTCAAGAACCAGCTATGCCCTGAGAACGTTCAGGCTGCCCTAGCAAGGAACCCAAAAGGGGTAGGCACTACAAGGTTGAAGATTTTTAAATCTCTTAACCACATCAGCGGCCTGTATCCTGTTTTTCCTTGCCCATCCCTGCTACTAACCATTGGCCCCAGAGAGGGAATCTTCTGGCTTGAAGCCACAACACTTAAACCTTCACAAACAGTGCGGGTGGTTGTGTTGCCTGGTTAAGCCGGCGTCATTGCGTAGTGCAGGAGGAAGTTAGATGTTAGCATGACTGGGGGATGTGGACTCATATATTCTGAGGCTGAGGAGATGCCCCAAAATACTCGCATTGCTTCCTCAGTCAAGCTCATTCCCCCCATTTAAAGGTGAAAAGTAGGATCTAGACTCAGGTAGTTTCCGAAACTGCCCGGTGACAGGTGTGGAGAGGATGGGGGTGGGAAGCTGGGGATCAGGAGACCAAACAAAAAACCCTTCTCCAGCCCGCGCGGCGCTGTGGAGGTTCCAAAACGGACTTTCCTCCAACTCGAGCCCCTAGGAGGCGAGCTGCACCATCCCTCCGAGTGAGTGGGAGGGGTGGAGGGGAAGTTCTGGCGCAGCCCTCCCGCCGCCGCCCCCCGCAACCAGGCGCCAACCTCTCCAATTCCCCGCTACGGCTGTCATGCTTCCTCCGGCCCAGCCCAGCGGCCCTCACCCAGCCGGCGGGGCGCCCCCTGCCGCGGCCCCCTCCTCCTCCTGCTCGCGTGGGAAGTGGCAGGGTGCTCGCGGGGTCTCTACCTTGGCCCGGGAGGGCGCGCGTTCCGAGATGAAGCGCCGGCGCCGGAGCTGAAGCCGGAGCTGGGCGAGAGGGGACGGGCTTGGCAGATGCGGCCGCCGCGGGGCCGCCCGGTTCCTGACGACACAGCTGCCCGCCCTCCACCCCAGTCCGCCGCCGGGCCGTGCCCGCGCCCAGAGCCCCCCAACTCCGGGAACTTCGAGTCTGGAGAGAGCCCTGTTTCCAGTTCACCATTACCTGACTCCCCTCCCCCGCATTTCCCCGGGGCTCGGGTCTGTGCCACTTTCTCCACTTCCCGCGCTCCCCATTTTTTCCGAGCCTGGCGCAGCTCCGCTTCCAGCTATTTCCCCTTCTTTCTAATCATTCACAGCCTCTCCCTTCATCCCAACCCTGGGAGGCCAAGATAGGGGGCGGGGCTCCTGGTGGGACAGTTTGGCAGTTACCCACCCAGCCAAGGTCTTGCCCACTCCTAACTGGTGCCAAACCCCAAATTCCCTGTCCAACTCCCTTCCCAACTCCTTTGCATCCACGGTTGACTTCAGACCCAGGAGATCCCACAGGGGCAAGGCAAGAGTTCTAGACTTCACATTCTGAGATATAAACAACTCTCTCCTCCCATAGGCTCCATACTGCTTCAGAGAAGCTACTGACCTTCTCCTCCAGGCTTCTCATCTCCCTAAACCCCAGATCCCAGATGTCTCACACTCTGAGACCTGTTTTCCCCAGTCCAAGGACACTTGTTACTGGGGTTGAGGCTTAGGTGCACAGAGCACTCTGACCTGTGTCCCTTTCTCCATGCTCTAATCCTTCCACTTTGCCCGCTGACCTTGGCAGGTGTTGCAGAAGGCGCTGGCCAAAAGTAGGGAGTGAAAAGCGATCCTTTCAGCTTTTTCCTGCCTGGAATCTGTTCTGGAGTCGTCAGTGCTCTTGGGGCAGCATGGATGGTGGTGGGACTGCTAGAGCAAGGGAGAAAGACAGAGGCCTAGAGACTTACTGGTAGGAACTGGAGACCCAGGCATCCTGCTTCTCGCCCCGCCCCAAACCCAGCTAACACCCTCCTACCCTTCACTGAAGTAGGGGAAAGTAACAAAGGCTTGGTTTCCTGGAATCTTCCCTCTTACACCTGGGGTAGGAGGGAGGGGGAGTGGAGGGCTTTGACTGGAAGAGTTATGTATGTATATGTTACACACACACACTCTCTCTGTCTCTCTCGCTGTACATATATATGTATACACACATACACACGCTTTGGGGGAAGGGGTTGGGGAAGAGAAGGAATGAATACGTGAGGCCCTCTAGTGGAAACAGAGGGATCTAAGCAGTTCCTGATTGTTCCCCAAGACAGGCTCTTTTTAGAAGAGACTCCCCCACTTTGACCAGAAATGAAGCTGCTGAATAATAAAGTAGCTGGAAGGGGGTTTGGGATTATTGTGTTGTGTCTGAACTAGAGATCTGGGGCAGGATTGGAGAGAATCTGTCTCTCTGCTCCTGTCTTCCCTCCAGGTCTGACCCCCAAATCTTAAAAGGCAAAGACTCTACCACTCCCCAGCCTTCATCCTTAAAGTGTTTTCTCCACTATTAGCAAAGCTTCATTTCCCCTTCCCGTATCACCTCCTTAATCAAACATTCAACACTTTTGAGGGCCTGCTGTTCATCAGGTCCTGTTCTTAGTTCCGTAGGACAGCCAAAAACATAGCCAGCTTAGGAGGGACTTGGTGTACGTTTGTGTGTGAAGCCTCTCTGACCCCAGTCAACCTAGAAAAACATACAAGTAACTGAACTCCTCAATTAGGAATAATTCGGGAAAGATACTAATCCTTAAAGCACTCAGTTTTCCTTGCAAAGAACCTTCTTCGTAATGAACATCTTGCAGTTATACCCCCCTGTATATAACCTGCGTTTCTCACTCCAGCATCCTCACGTCTCTACATAAAGTTAAAAACAATCCTTTTAAGACTTTGAGACTTCAAAGAGGGGCATGAGGTGATTTCCCTGATGAGTAAGGTGGAATCACTCTTACCCTAGGCTCCTTTGTGTCTTCTTTATGATCTGTTCCCCCATCATATCCTGCCCAGGTCAGTTACTGGTGGGGGTGGGGAAAAAAAGGCCAAGAAACATCTAAGGAGGAGGAGTCTAATGCCTACAGTTCCAGGTGCTCATTTCTTTACTCAACCACATCATAAAAATCAGAAAGAAAGAAACCGCAATGAACAAAGGGAGAGGAAAAAACAACAGCCTTGTTCTCCCCAGCCTCTTCTTCCCCCTCTTCCTCCTCAGGGGAGGGCACCACATCGAGGCCCAGGGCTGGGTCCCAACTCAGGCTGCTAGGCAGACAATTGAGTTTCACTTCCTGTCAACCCTAGAGCTGGGACAGGATGTTTGGGGGCACAGGGAGGGCCTGAAGATGAGGGTTAGGTAGTCAACATGGCCACTTTAGCATTCCTCCTGCAGAAAGGTCCATTGAGCAGCCTACTTTGAAGTTGCAGAGACCACTCCTCAGGTGGTACAGTCAAGACCAATGCATCCTACTAGTTTTTACAGGCTTCAACCCACACTCTTCACCCCTAATCATTAGTACCAAGGCTAAGGACAGGACCCTAGATGGGGGCAGAGCTGAGGCACAGTTGGTTAAAGGAAAAACAGGGGTTAAAGATGGCATTGTCAGAACACTGGGCAATAATTGTATTATATGCAAATACGTTTTTAAATGAGTCTTGGGGCCTAGGGTGGAAGTCATGGAGGTGGAGGATGGGAAGAAAGGCAAATTGTGACTGGAGAAAACGTCTGAGGCTTAATTTCAAAGTTTTAGAAGGTTCCTAGTCAGCCACTGCTGTCGGTTGTTCTATTGCGGCACGCAGCCTAGTGTTGGATGTGGGTCACCAATATACGCCCCTCCTATCCCTGATTCTAGGGGTACTGTTTAACCTAAGGCTAACTAGAGGATTTGGAGGAAGGTAAAAGAGTTAATAAGAAAAAAGCAACGTGGGGCTGGAAGAGGGCAGAGTCGACACCTGAGGAGAGGAACCCGCAGCCGGCCCCTCCTAGGGTCTAGGGGAAACGAGTTGAACTGGATTTAGCCCTGAAGGAACTGCTGAAGAACACTGAGGTTCGCCTTAAGAATAGGGAAGCACGGGGCAAGGCAGAATTGCAGAGAGTGACTGTACGGGTCCGAATTATTGGCGAGTTGCCCCGCTTCCGATCCCCAGCGCCCAGAGACTTGGACAAGATTAATTAGAAGCCATCACCCTGCCCTGGGACCCTGGGGCCCTGCCCGAGGAGACTCCCGGGGTGAGAGGCCGGGCAAACTTGGGCCGTCGTCACTACGCCTCCCAGCTCCTCGGAGCCGCCCCAGGGGCAGGGCCAGGCCAACGCCGCCCGTGCAACCCGGCCCGTCGCCTCCCCGGCCTTGGAAGCCGCCGGCGGCAATCCTGCGGATGCAGGGACAGGTGATCGACCGGAAGCGCTCTCCACTCCCACGCCCCTCGCGCGGGTCTCTGCCCGGAGGGTTGAGCTGGGCAGCCGAGGGCAAGGTGGCGCGCGATTCCGACCTCCCCATTTTCTTAGAGGGGGTTAGTTGGGGGTCTTCAATTTGCCCCACCAACACTCGTGCGCCCGGATGCGTTCCCAGAGTTTGCCTGCCCCGACCCACGTCCCCAAGCCGCTCTGGGACCCTGGTGCAGGTCAGGGTCTGAATTTTCTTCCTTTCCTCATTTGTCAGTCCCTTTCCGGGTACGGGTGGGCTTTGTGCCCTTTTCTCCGAGTTCCGGGACGGACGAGGAGTGCGTTTGAGGAAGAGGGACCGTGCCTCGGAACTTCTCTTGGCGCCCAGAGGACTGCTTTATATGCAGCAGGGGCTCAGTAATGATATCAGTGGCAATAAAAGAGCCCACGGCTTTCATTTTTTTAACTTCTTCAATTTCTACTCCCTCTTCCTTCTACACCCCGCCCATGAAACGGTGCACTCTCCCTTTAAGACTAAGATGGTGGCTTGCTAAGATCTGGACTTCACTTCCGGTGGGGAGGGGGGCGGGACCCCAGCCCGCTCACGCCGGAAGTGGTTTGCGTTTTCAAGATGGCGACTCCCTATGTAACTGACGAGACCGGCGGTGAGTGCGGGAGGCGCCGAGCGGCTTCTCTCCGGGCTCTCGGGGCAGGGGTTCGAACTTGGAAAGGGGTCTGTGCCCCGCCCATCCCGGGGCCCCTCCTTTGCCCCGCCCCCCGGACCGCCTTCCCCATTCATTCTCTCCTACGGGGTGTCACCTGCGCCCCCTTCTGGTCTCGTGTTTGGGGGTCCTAGCTTCCGGTGACCCAAACCCTGGGGTCCTCAATGCTGGTACCTGCTCCAGGACCCTCACGGGCCCTAAGTGTTTCTCCAGCAGTTGGAGCATCCTCTGTCTCTTTTGGTTTCTCCAGCCTTGGAGGCTCCTACATTCTCAGTTCCCTCCAATTCCTGCCTCCCCATATTCCCCTCCCCCATCTTTTAGTGATGCTTGCTTTCTGCCCTATTCCACTCCCGTTTAAATTCTTTTTCTCGAGAAGCTATACCTGCTGAAGAACTCATCATTGCTACATAATGTTTTTTCCACTGTCTCCCTTATCTTCATTGTTGAGCCACGAAAATCCAGAGGTGTGAAGGGAAGAGGAACCTAATTCAACTTTCAGCTTGGGTTTTCTCCTTGATGGTACCACCCTTCTCTCCCTTTTCCAGTCATTGGTGGTGATACGGGTTGAGGGTGTCCGAGGTGGAAGAAAGCAAATAGGACGATGCCTAGTGGCTTTTCCTCAAGCCCCTTGACAAGTTGATAGAATCCACTGTTCCTTCTGGCTGGAGAAGAATTTCTATCCTGGGTGCCTGAGATATGGAAGTGTCTGCTGTGTATGTGAGGTTTGTGTGTTGTAAACTGAAATTCAAGGGTTTCACATGGTTTTGCCCCATCCTAATTGTCTCATTGTTAGAAACTTAGTAATGTCTACCCAGTGAGGATCCAATAATATACGCGGAAGCAATTTGTAAAATGCCGTGCAAGTGCAAGATGTTACTGTTTTTGTAGCCCTTGTTGTGTTAAGTGTACTCTTCTGTAGAAGCGATGACACGGTGTGCGCTGTTCTACACACAGTCTGTTTTTTAAATGGGCCGGTTATGCTTCTTGCCTGTTGCTCTCCATGTTCCTGATTTTTCAACCCACCTTTCCTGTGGTACCTAACGCAACCCAGGTCTCTGCTGCTTCTCCCAGACCTCACATTTCAAAGTGGTACGACCCCTCTTCTCCTCGCCTTACCCAGTATGTCTTTCTTCAACTAGCTCCTTTTAATGTGTACTTTGAAAATACCACTTATTGTCCAGTACATGTCTCTCTATCCTTAACCATTTTCTTTACCATGACGTAATGAAAATCCAGATACCACATCTTGCCTTACTCTCCCACCTGGAGGTATCTTCTGGTTCCTGTGGCTGTGTGGAAAAGAAGGAATCGGACTGCTTACCTACTTTCCCTTACTCGTTCCAGATTATTGTGTACTACTGTCACTCTAATCCTTGTAGACGGTATCGTAATGCTGTTGTCACTCTAACCCTTGTAGACGGTGTCGTAATGCTGTTGTCACTCTAACTCTTGTAGACAGTATCATAATGCTGTTGTATCATATTTTTTTCTCCACTCTGTTTCTTGCTATCACTCTCAGCGTCTCTGGCACCGTTGCAGTACTCTGATCTTGTAGTTCCTCAGCAGGAGACCATTGAATTTTCCTTTCTATTTCAAAGTAGCTACACATCAGAATCACTACAACGGGTATCTCACTCATGACGCTGCTTCCCCTTCAGGTGCTCCCCATCACTTCAGCCACCTTTCTAGCCACACCTACCGAACCAGCTTTTTGCCCCCCCTTAGGCTCTCTGGAAGGAGCCATGGTGTTGCAGTGGTAAAGCGCTTGGCTGTTAACCAAAAGTTCGACAGTTCGAACCCACCAGCCACTCCGCAGGAGAAAAGACCTGGCGCTCTGCTCCTGTAAAGATGTCAACCTAGGAAATCCTATGGGGCTGTCATATAGGGTCACTGTGAGTTGGAATCAACTTGATGGCATGCAGCAACAACAACAGGCTCTCTGGTTCTTCACCCTTCCCAGCTCACCAAGTCTCCCAGCACCTTCATGGCTACCTTTGCTGCTTCCCAGGTAGACCTCTGTGACCAGTCACTTTGATACTGTCTTCGTTGCTTTATTCGTTTATTTTGATTCTCCTACCCATCAACTGTTCTCTTACTTTCTGCTTTTAGGCCACAGCACATTGTTAGAGAAAAAGCACAAAACTAACAGTTAGTATAACATAACTTCATGTTAACTTCTGTCAAGATCACAGCTTCTCTACAGTTCTTTTGTCCTGATTTCCTTATATTCTCCCATGGTTATTTCCACCAAACTTTTCCAGCTCTCTGTGACTTCACCTTCTATTTCACTGAAAAATCAAGACCTAGCACTTCTGTTTTTTTCCTGTTCACAGCCAGATTTTTTGACTATCAGGTCTATACCTGCTATTTTCATTACCTTTCTTTCTTTTTTTTTTTTTTTTTTATTTCTAGCACCAGCCTCTCTGCTGAGTTGCCTGTATCTTTTTCACTCCTGAATGTATTGTCATACCTCAAACCCAGCCTGACCAAAATCAGTTTTTCCTTTCTTATTTCTGTTAAAGGCACCATTGTTGTAGCCAACCCAAGATCAGCTTTATGCATCATCTCTCTCTTTTTAATTGTTTTAAATAGATTTTATTTTTTAGAACAGTTTCAGGCTTATAGAAAAGTTTAGAAGATGGTATAGAGTTCCCATGTACTCCACACCCAATTTCCGCTATTATTAACATCTTACATTAGTATGGTACCTTTGTTATAATTAATGAATCAGTATTGATACATTATTAACTAAAGTCCATACTTCATTCAGATTTCCTTATTTTTTACCTCCTATCTTTTTTCTATTGCAGGATCCCATCCAGGATACCACATTACATTTAATTCTCAAGTTTCCTTAGCTTCCTCTAGGCTGTCACAGTTTCTCAGACTTCCATTGTTTTTGTTGACATTGAGGAGGACTAGTTTTGAGGAGGACTAGTCAGGTATTTGGAAAGTCTGATGGCTTAGTGGTTAAGAGCTATGGCTGCTAACCAAACAGTCAGCAGTTCGAATCCACCAGGTGCTCCTTGGAAACCCTGTGGGGGTAGTTCTACTCTGTCCTATAGGGTAGCTGTGAGTCAGAATCGACTCGATGGCAATGGGTTTTGGGTTTTTTAGTCAGGTATTTTGTAGGATGCCGTCTATTGCAGTTCGTTTGATGTTTCTCTCATGATCAGACTGTTAGTTGCTGTCAAGTCGGTTCTGACTCACAGTGACCCTACGTTCAACAGAACGAAACACTGCCCAGTCCTGCGCCATTCTCACACCATTGTTAGGCTTGAGCCCATTGTTGCAGCCACTGTATCGATCCATCTCGTTGAGAGTCTTCCTCTTTTTCACTGACCTTCTACTTTACCAAGCTTGATGTCCTTCTCCAGGGACTAGTCTGTCCTGATAATGTGTCCAAAGTATGTGAGACGAAGTCTGGCCATCCTTGCTTGTAATGAGCACTCTGGCTGTACTTCTTCCAAGACAGATTTGTTCATTCTTCTGGCAGTATATTCAGTATTCTTCAGCAACACCATAATTCCAAGCATCAGTTCTTCAGTCTTCCTTGTTCATTGTCCAGCTTTCACATGCACATGAGGCGACTGAAAACCCCATGGCTTGGGTCTGGCACACCTTAGTCCTTAAAGTGACATTTTCGCTTTGTAACCCTTTAAAGAGGTCTTTTGCAGCATAGTTGCCCAATGCAGTGCGTCCTTTGATTTCTTGACTGCTGCCGCTTTGGTCGTTGATTGTGGATCTAAGTAAAATGAAATCCTTTACAACTTCGGTATTTTCTCCATTTATTACGATGTTGCTTATTGGTCCAATTGTGAGGATTTTTGTTCTTTTTATATTGAGGTGTAATCCATACAGAAGCCTGTGGTCTTTGATCTTCATTAGTAAGTGCTTCAAGTCCTCTTCACTTTCAGCAAGCAAGGTTGTGTCATCACGATTATACTGGGATTATGAATTTTGGAGGGGAACACCACAGAGGTAAAGCGCCATTTTCATCACATTTCAAGAGTACGTAGTATCAAAATGATTTTTCACTGTTGATACTGACCTTGTGCACCTGTCTAACATAATGTTTGTAAAGTTTCTCCACTGTAAAGTTACTCATTTCCCTCACTTTCCATACTATACTCTTTGGAAGGAAATCACTACTTGCAGCCCACACTTAAGGGGAGGGGAGTTATGCTTCCCCTCCTTGAGAACAGAGTATCTACATAAGTTATTTAGGATTCTTCTATATAGAAGATTTGTCTCTTTCCCTCCCTTTATTTATTCGATTATTTATTTATATCAATATAGACACATTTATTTTATACTTTGGTTATAATCCAATACTAATTTGTTTTGTTGCTCAAATGCTCCATCTTTGGCTATTGGGAGCTCTTTGAGTTAGCTCTTGTATCTCTTTAACATGCCCCCATCAATGTAGGGTTGTTTTTTCTTTTAGTAGTTTTTTACTTTCTGGCTCTAGGATATGCTCTAGGCATATCTTGTATATTTCCTGATCCAGCCCTGGAATCAGCTGTTTCTCCAGGGTACCTGTTTCCTTTTATCGGAGAAGAGTGTTAGAAGCCAAGATCTGGGTGCTAGTTGTGCTTGTTGCTATTGGGATGTCGTTTTTGTATCATCTTTTACTCTTCTCTTGCTCCCTCCTCCACATCAGTTGTCAAAATATTCTTCTATTCCTATTGCCATTACCCTTATTCCATCTTCATTACTTGTTAGCTATATGACGTTGGAAATTTTATTTATGTAACTCTTAGTTTTCTAATTGATGAAACTGGAATAACTCCTACAACATAGGATTATTGTGAGAATTAAAATCTAAATGAGATAATGTACATGTCTGGCACATAGAAAGTGCCCAACAAATAGTTCAGTAATTATTATGTAAAGGTTATTGTGTGGATTAGAACAGATTATATATTCAGAGTACCAAGCAT